AATGGAGATAAGGAAAAAGAAGAAAACATAAGACCCATGTAGTGGCATTACTGAGTTTCATAGTTTTCTCTAAACTTCCTAAGAGTCAGAATGATCATCTGCAAAAATAATTACATTTAGATTGGTAAAAATAGCACCTTAGCAAAAATGAATTGGGATTTTAAGCACTGAAAAATTTCATTTTATAGATGAAAGTTAACAATATTTAAATTATTTTTAAATTGTTTATGATCTAATTCATATACTATTATATACTGTGGAGCCACTTGTTTATTTTTTAACTTACATTACTGTACCTGTTTATATGTTGTTTTGTCCAGGCATTTACTACAGATTTCAGGGTACATTGGGCTCAACATCCTTTAAGACCAGAATTTGCAGAAAGTACCTACTTCTTGTATAAAGTAAGTGATTTTGCCTCTCTTTTTGCTATTTACCCCCCATTCTCTATTGGATATCTCACTATCTTATAATAGTAATCGGGTTTTCATAGTGCCTGTTTAATGTTATAATGGTTGGATATGTTACGGTTTTCATTCATCTAGTCCGTAGTTACTGAAAGATGCAAGAATTGACCAAGTTTTGTGTCTTTTCAAAATACTTGTATAAACTTTTCCATATAGAGAAGTTTTATATTTGAGAGCTGTTTTCTAAAGCATGTCTCTTACCCTTTAATCAAGCCACCTTCCTGGGCATTAAAAATTTTATCTAAGGGTTGAGATATATAGTTGGACAGCTTTCCAGTTGTGTGTTTAAGAAATTCCATAAAGCAGATCCATGGCTTATTTCCAGAGCTAGGTTCTATGTAACCTGTGTTCCAGTGCCTGATACAATGCCTAAGCACCTAGTAGGTACTCAATAAATATCTGATAAATGAGTGGGTGTATGGTAATATATAAGCTCTATATGTATACATATATTCTCCTTTTTAATAGGCTACAGGAGATCCTTACTACCTTGAAGTAGGGAAAACACTTATTGAAAATTTAAATAAATATGCTAGAGTGCCTTGCGGATTTGCTGCCATGAAGGACGTTCGTACTGGAAGTCATGAGGACAGGTAAAACAGTCCCTAACATCCCCTTCCTTCAGGGTAACTCTGAACCAGCACAAAATAGGACTCATAGGTAGAATTCACATAAGCTTTACAAAGGGTGTTTAAAGATGAAAACTTAGTTCATCGTGTTTAATTTCCAAACTCTCTTGAATAGACTCATTTAAAATTGTTTGAAAAGTTTGTATTTTTATCATAGTGCCTGGCATATAGTAGGTGCTCAAACGATTTTTACGCAGATGAATAAATGATGGTTAAATTTCAGAACCTTACTATTAGCATGGGGGCCTTCTGTGTTAATTTCTAACACTTTACATAATATAAAAACTGTTAAGATGATGATGATCTGGATTATGATATATGTCAAGAATTCCTCAAAGCAGTCTCGTGGTTAATGTGTATTCTTATTCTGTTGCCGATTGGGAGGCTGAGGAAGACCACTGTCAGTTTCTGTTTTATTGGATACTGGATGGATGTAGATGGCATGAAATAAACTATAAAAAGCATACTTTGGTTACTGTGATAATCACTAACATTCCAGTTATTTTAACTGTCCAGAACATAGCAACATACTTCTAATGAACACTAAAGTTTGTTTATTTGGTTAGCAAATGTTCATTCCATAGGCATTTAGGAGGTTTCTTAAGTGCCAGAGTTATAGTGGTTTTTGAAGTTCAAAGATAGGAAGACCTGTCTTTTCCATCTTTGAATCAATGAGAATAGGCGTATCAATACATTTTAAAACATTGTGTAAGTGCTGTGAGACATGTTAAAGGGACATGAAATGGGAATTGGGATGTGATGGTCACTGGAGGCTCTTGTATCTTGAAGGATGAACCAGGAATAGGAAGAAGTAGTAAAAGCACTTTGAGGCAGAGGTACTAGAGGCAGGTGAGGTGAGACACAGCACTCATCATCTACTCAGAGTTACCGCTTAGTCCTTCACTCAGAGTATTTAATCATTAATGAGGCTTGGAATCTACTTCCCTGATCATAGCTGATGAAAACTGGGTAGGTCTTTGGAAGCTGACATGTAGATACCAGCAAGAAATGAAAGCAGATAGGCTGTGTATTTGTCTTTAACATTTATTGACTGCCTCCTGCATTCTGGGCACTCGTTCTTTTCTTTTTTTGAGAAAGGATATGCAAGCACAAGCGGGGGAGGGGAGAGGGAGAGTGAGAATCCCAGGCAGGCTCCGCACTGAGCGTGGAGCCCCAAGGCGGGACTTGATCTTACAACCATGAGATCATGACCTGAGCTGATATCAAGAGTTGGATGCTTAACCAACTGAGCCACTTGGGCGCCACTGGTCACTCTTCTGATAAAGCACTTTGTATGTTTAATTCATTTGATCTTGAACCCTTTGACCTGTGATTTCTATTACAATCTTCATTTTATAGATGAAGAAGCTGAGGCACAGAGAGGTTGAGGAACTTACCTAAGGGCACACATCAGTAAAGTCCAAATTCCCATCAACACTTGAACTCTATGAACATTGTGCTCTTGAACACTGTGCTATTCTGGCAATTCATTCAAGGAACAATAATTAAGTACCTTCTGTATGCCAGGCACTGCACATAGATTTGGGGATGGAAAAAGAAATTAGAACCAGTTTCTGCCCTCCCATAACTTATAGTTAGTGGAGAGAATAGGTGTATAAAGACATAATTACAACCATGTGATTTGTGCTGTGGTGGAAAAAAAGAGTAGCAGGTTGAGGAATTCCAAAGGAAGACATGATTGATCCTGTTTAGAGAGTTCTGGTTTTCTAAATTTAACATTCTTTTTTTCCTCATCAAATATTCCTCATATGACATTGTTTCTAGACTTTTTACCACTGCCTTTGCCCCAATCTGATTATATTCCAGTATATAGAGTATCTCTTAAAATACTAAGTTCAGAATTAATCACATTCGAGATGTGCCTGGCAAAAACATCACTGTTCAAGAACAGTTGTAAGGTTGCTAATTTTCTGAGGGCCTAATGGGTTTATACCCCCTATTCAGTTGAGGTTCACTGCTTTATCAACTGTTCCTCATGACAGAATTGAGGACCGCGTTGTTTGTTTTAGGCAGTTGGCCCAACCAAAGGTTGAGAACTACTTATATTCATCATTCTGTGTTACTAAATGCGCTTTAGATTTTTTTAGCAGCTTTATTAATATTCACCTCACAGTGAACTTGTAGCCAGTTGACCTCAATTACTTAATTGTGGCCTGCTGACAAATGGGTATTCTCCACCCTACTTTTGAGCAAGTGAGGTTTTTTTTGGGGGGTGGAGGGGGTAAACTTAAAACTATATACTTACCTCAGCAAAATTTGGTTTTGTTGGTGTGTGTGTGTGTGTGTGTGTGTGTGTGTGTATTTCTAGACCTATAAGAGGTTTGAATCTCATCTCCATCATCTAATGTATTACCTAAGTTCAGTGCACTGCAGTTTGGATAAGCATACCTTAAAAATTTTCCATCTAAATTGCCAGGAGGAATTCTGGTTAGGACCAAGACCAGTGTACCTTCTGGTGTGAACTTGAGAGTTTGCAAGTTAAAATCTCTTTGTGTTTGGTTGTTTATTTCTCTATAGATATACAGTGCTGTCACCTGGCTCACCAGCATCCCTGCACACACACACACACACACACATTTTTCAATTTTCAAAATGGTACTATCTGTATTTTCTTTATAATAATGATCACTGGAAAGAATTTAAATAGTAAAAAGAATATGAAAATCTTCCCTAAGATACTTACCCTACTTGCCCACCCTAAGATAACCAATGTTGGCCATTTGATGAACAGTCTTCCAGACAGTTTTATTGCATGTATGTTTGCATTTGTGTTTTTTTTAGTTTTATTTTTATTTATTTTTGAGAAAAATACAAAGAAAGAGAAGGAGACGAATTCCAAGCAGGCTCCACGCTGTCAGCGCAGAGCCCGATGCGGGGCTTGAACTCACGAACGGTGAGATCATGACCTGAGCCAGAATCAAGAGTTGGATGCTTAAATGATTGAGCCATCCAGGCACCCCAATGATTTTTTAATACAAGTGAGATTATATGATATAATCCCAGTTTGCTAGCTTTACCCAATTCATACTCTAGTGATGTTATCATGTCTATATTCTTTTCTAAGTGTTTACAAATCATCTGTTTCATAATCAGTTCTAGAATTCACCAAAAATCAGCACCCTGTTCATCAGTCTACAGTTCTCAAGCTAACATTTGTTCATGAGAGCAACTCTCCATTGTCATTAAGTATATTGCAGGTTGACAGGGCGTGTTTTATTTATTCTGAAAAGATTAACTATAAAGTGTTCAAAATTTTTTATAACATTACAGGTGAATAATGAAACATCCAGAATGTTTTATCCAAAATGAAACATCATTGATACGTAGGAAAAATAAGGATATCTGTGTTTTTGAGCTTATACATATGCCAGGTGCTATGCTAAATAATGATCTTTACAGTATTTCATTTAGTCTTTACCCCAGTGTTAGGCAGGTATTATTATGTCCTTTACAAAAAAAATTAACTGAAGCTCACAGTCCTTATATAATATCCCCACGATTACACAGCTAGTCAGTGAAAGGCCTTTTCTTTTTCCGGAGCCCATGTTCTTTGCCACTGTGTTCCGTTGCCTCTCTAGTTCATTCTTTAGTAATACTGCTAAAAGTTTCATTTGATTTAGTAAACGTTTATTGAGTGCCTACTGTGTGCCAGGACTTGTGCTTGGCAGGAGGTGTGAAACTATATAATCTGTCCAGTAAGCCACGAGTTATTACCACCAAAACCACAGATTCTGTGGGAGGTAGTAGATGTAATGAAATTTCATGTTACTATAACTCCATCTAACGGCTGTGCTTTTTCTGCCACAAAAAAAAGTTTTATTAAAAGCTTTTCTTTAAAATGTTTATTAAAACATTATAACATTGAATCATTTATAAAGTCACATATATTTATATTTTTATTCCCTTCGTTTCTTCTAAATTCCCTTTTTGACAGGTATTTAAATACTTACAAAGTTCCAATTATAGTTCCTGTGATTCTGTGTTGTACTTTTTCTTGCAGTTTTTTGTAAATGATGTCCTTTACCTTAAAGCCTTCTTGTTTTTATCAGTTAAATGGCTACATCATGAACTCCATCAAAGTTGTACTACTTTATCCAGTTTAGTTAATATTAACAATTCTTGTATGGTTGTCAGTAGTAAAGTTCATCTGCATTACCGCCCTATTGTTGCGTCTCTGTAGAAGAAATGGAAAACTCTCTTTCATTGGAAGGCCAATAGAAAAATCTTATCTACGCTGTTGGCAAGATTTAGTGTGCCTGTGTGGTAGGCAGTCCCTCTGGTCTTTTTCATTTCCTTGGAATATGCTTGGAGTCAAGACTGTTACCACCGGGGGATAGATAGATTCTGTAGTACTTTCGACACCTAAATTGATACAGACATGTTTATTGACCTTGACTTTTTGGCTTTCAGATAGTTGGCATTTGAATATTTTTATGTTCTTAGATTTATTTATGACCTTTTACTTTAGAATGGATTCTTTCTTCTTGGCTGAGATGTTTAAATACCTTTACCTGTTATTTGCCGATAAAGAAGACATTATCTTTGACATAGAAGATTACATCTTTACAACAGAAGCTCATCTATTACCTCTTTGGCTTTCTACTACAAATCAAAGCATCTCTAAGAAGAATACAGTAGGTTATGTTTTTTAATTAAGCATCTTATTTTCTTTTATGTGTTTATTTTTCCAAGTGAAAAGTAATCTGTGAATAGAATTCAATAAATATATGTATGGTAGGAGGAAAAATACACCTGATGTTTTCTTACTTTGTTTTCTCTTATTGCATCCTATATATACTTATATTCCATTTAATGTTTCATTTGAAAATGCTGTAATGTTAAGTAAAATCATTATTTTTATTTACATAACATTCTTTTATATTGTAGACTTCAGAATATACAGAACTGGATGACAGTAATTTTGATTGGACTTGTCCAAACACTCAGATTCTCTTCCCTAATGACCCATTGTATGCTCAGAGCATTCGTGAACCCTTGAAAAATGTGGTGGATAAGAGCTGTCCTAGAGGCATCATCAGAGTGTAAGATGTATTATTTTACATTTATTAGTATCAAAGTTAATTGTTCGTAAATGATAGAGAATGTAAGGAACATATAACAGCCAAAAAGACATTCACTTAGACCAAAAATATTGAAGTATGTAGTTCACACTAACTAAAAGTTATTCATTGGTAAAGTTATATGGCAAAGTTTCTTCTGCAATAATGTCTTTTTCTTATGGAAATTTTCTTATGGAAATTTTTTCTCACAGAAATTTATTATGGTGTATATTTTATTAAGTATTAATGGTCAATGGGTGACATATAGTAGTTTTTAACTTCTGTAGTTCATTTTTACCCAGAATAGTTTCATCAGATATTTCCACATCTTGTAGAAAATATTTAAAAATTCTTTTTCCTTTAATCGACGTTTTCTATATAAGGAAAGTATAGATTTTAATTGATTTTACTTTTTGATGAAGTACTTCTGCTTGATTTTTAAATAAAATTTTTTTGTCTAATGAGTTCATTTTTTCCCCAAATAGTTACATTGAAAGGCCATTAATAAGAAATTAAAAAAAATTTTTTTGAGTGTTGTTATTCAGTGGTAGAAGTATTATTTTACTTTTAAAATATTGAGAGAAAAGTCTGTTTTTCAAGGGAGAAATCAGTAAAAACAAATCCCCAAGCCATCTATTCTGTGCCTTCAAATAGTTTATAAGGCTGTTGACGACTAAGACAGTTCTGTAAATAATATACATGCTTTGATAACTGTAAAATATATTTGAGAGCTCTACCACGTAATAACATAAGTTATATATGGGAAAGTAACTGTTTCCAGTTTTTCCAGTTTCACGAGTTCTATAACTAGCAATTTTGCAAATACCTACAATTATTTTTATTTGCCTTCTGTTTTTCCCCAGTTCTGATTTGTAGTTTTTAAATCTTATCTGTAATTACTTTTAGCAGAGAGGAGAGTTTCAGGAGTGGAGCTAAACCCCCTCTGAGAGCCAGAGATTTCATGGCCACTAACCCTGAACATTTAGAAATCTTGAAGAAGATGGGGGTGAGTTTGATTCACCTCAAAGATGGGAGAGTCCAGTTGGTTCAACATGCAATCCAAGTAAGCCATTGCTGTACTAATTAGATACCATCTCTGCCCGCTGTGGTCTCATTAGCTTTAATAAGATCATGACATTTGGCTTTCTAAAAACTTTTCATATATGATTTAGAGAACCATTCTAGATTTTTAGGACTTGGAGATATCTTGGAAAGCCATGTAATTCAGCTCCTTCATAGGATAAATCAATTAAATCACAAAAAGGTTAGGTAGTTTGCTTAAATTGATAGAGTCAAATGTAGGGCTCAAATCCAAATTTTTCTGTTTTTAAGCCCCTTGTCTTTCCCCAATTTAGAGCATAATCTTAAAAGCTAATAATTCATTTTAATACCTCTGTAGTTTACAGTATTTTCGTTTCCAAAACACTCCTGAATCTATTTTATTCATTATGGAAATCAAAATTTTCATGTACGTGTCTATGCCTAGGAAAGATAACAAATTTCCCTTTGGGGAAAATTCTGTTTCTTTGCTTAAAAAGCTTTCGTAACATGAGGCCTTTTAATTATTCACCTTATTAGTACATTGATTCTGAGAAAACTACATGGTTTGCTAAATAATTTCAACCTGGATCCATACCAGGTATCCCTTAAAGTCAGCCTTCCTGCAACCTTGGTGTCTGTCTCAGAATTCTGTTTCATCTCTGTTGTCACATCCATCCTTCCTCAAAGAGTATTTTGCCCACTTCTGTATGTTTCACTCACTGTCACTTCTCAGTAGTGGGAGTGGCATCTCTAACATTACTTTCACTTATGCCACCAATGACATAATTACCACACAGTGGCCTCTTAATCCTTATTTGATTGAATTTTTCTGTAACTGTTGACTGACCTCTTTTTAAAACCTGTCCCTTTCTTGGCTTCCAGGGCATTCCAGCAACATACATCTTTCCTACTTTTCTGTTCTTTGCTTTGTGGATTCCTTTGGAGCTCTCCTTTTTTGGCACAACCACTCAGCGTAGGCACTGCCAAAGAACCTGGATCATACCCTTTTCTCTCTATAGTCTTCTTCAGCAGTCTCACCCGTTTCTACAAGTTCAGCTGTCGTCTTTGTACACATGATTTCTTAGATATACATAGGTAACCCTGACTCCTAACTTTGCTCTTAAATTCAGCTTTAGTCTGCTTGTCATACATGTCTGCAACTCAGTCTCAATCTGTCCAAACCTGATTTGATTATCTCTTCCTGTCCCCACCTCAGTCCATCTCTTTTCCTTTTTGTTTTCCATGTCAGTAGACCCTGACATCATTTTCTAAGTCACCAAAACTGGACAATATCAAGATAGGCCTAAACTTGTGTCTGTGTCCCAGCCCTTCTCTGTTCTCTTGCATCCTCTGACTCCTGTCAAGTCCAAATGGCTTTTCCTGTAAAGTCTCAGGAATCCACCCTCTTTCCACTATAGTCAGGCATTCTTTAGCTTTTCTCCTGTTAAGGCTCAATTCACATGTCATTCTAAATATTGCCCAGATCCACATTGGCAGAACCAACCATTCCCTTGTCTGTGCTGCTAGTCTACTTTCCTACCTGAGAATTTTATCGTAGGTAATTTTACATGCCTGTCTCCTCTAGATACAAACTTCTTAAAGTGAAAGGCCATCTTCCCAGTTCCTAGTCAAGTGCGGGAGCCCAGCACTAATACAGCCCAGCCTGGTACATATGTTTCATATTTAATCTGATTGTTGGTTCATAATTCCAAAGAAGGGAAGTGTGGGTCAGGTATGAGGTTTATTTCTAGAAAGAGGAAACAGTGGGGAGAAATTATGCAAGGGTTTAGCATTTGAGCATTTGGTGGAAGTCCAGTTCTCCATTTGTATCTGAGTGGTTTGTAGAACAGTGAAGGAGACATTGATAAAGATTACACATGTTACTTTCAGAAAATATTTCCAGAAGTAATATTTTTGAGGACAGAAAAGGCCATAAAATACTTGATAGGGACAAAAATCAAAAGGGGAAATGTTAGAGTAGATTATAGTGTAGTAGTATTTAAGAAATCAGAAAGTTGAAAGTTTCCATAAGAAAAAGATAAAATGAATCTGGTTTTTTTCCTAGGCTGCTAGTTCAATTGATGCTGAAGACGGGTTGAGGTTCATGCAGGAGATGATTGAATTGTCAAGTCAGCAACAGAAAGAACAGCAGCTGCCTCCTCGAGCTGTACAGATTGTTTCCCACCCATTTTTTGGCAGGGTAGTGTTGACTGCCGGACCAGCTCAGTTTGGGCTAGATCTGTCTAAACATAAAGAGGTGTGTACACTTACAATATGCGTGTTGATTGACTTCAAAGTATTGTGTGATTATTGTCTAATTTCTTAGTTGCTTTTCTGATTCAGTATATTTATTAAACCTAAATAATTTACTAAAACCTAAATATTCACTCTCCCAGATTAAAGTAGATTAAAGTTAAAAGCTTATTTTGAAAATTTTGAGTCATAATTTATGTATACAACATACTTAGAGGATTTTACTTAGAATCTTATTTAGATACTGTCCAATTCTTGGCCCGTTCTCTAATTTAGTGTCTTTAATTTATCTAAAAATGGGTTTGGGGACTTTTTAACAACTACTAGAACCTTTTGTTGAACAAAAATCTAACTTGGAGCCTTAACGTAGAGAACAACTAAAAGCAGAGGTGTTTTGGCTCAGGTGGCTGTGCAGAGTGTGCTGGTCAGGTCCCACCAGGCCACCCTGGAAGACCACTAAACTAGCACATCCCCTGAGTTTTAACACTGGAAAGAAAGACCTGCATTGCTAAATAGTGCACAAGTTTTTCTAATTGGTTGCAGAGCTGGGACCAGACCCAAGTAGCCTGACCATCTAAAGCCAATGCTCTTTGAACTCCATTACCCCTAATTTAGGCCGTTTTTGTATGTGTATTATAAAGCTTTATAGGTTTGTAGATTGACCCATCCACTCAGCACCTCTTTATCGAGTCCCTACTATACTCTAGGCACTATTTAGATGTTTGCTGTGGATTGAGTTTACAAAGCCAATGAAGATCCACGCCCTCATGGAGTTTATGTTCTAAGCGAGAGGGATATTAAACCATCTTTATATTAGCAT